GGCATGTGTGGAGGAAAGAAGCAAACTAAGGAAAGAAGAGTAGGGCAGCCCTGGGTAAAAGGAGAACCAGTTTTCCTCCAGACCAATAATTCTAAAAAGGAATTTTGGAGAAGACAAGTAAGCAGTGTGGGCCAAGAATTAAGATTCAGAGTAAGCACTGATTCATCTCTTGACAAACCAACTGACTGAAATTTGGAGCAAATCATGGAATTATCGTCTGCCCTTCGCATCTCCCTCTTCCTTTGAAATCTGCTTCTCTCCTAAAAATTCTTTGCTTTCTAGTGTAGCTTGGGGAGGCCTAGCAACTTTGAGTAGTGAGCAACATGCCAGATGTAATGGATTTGCTTATTCCCAAGCCATCAAACATTTCCCCGTAGCTGCCACCCTCTATGCAGGGACCATAGCATCTGAGTGAAAATAAACCCCTGCCCTTGGGGTGAGCCCCAACATACCCAGTTGGGAGAGTCCCCACCCCGCGTTGTCGTGATGGTCTCAGGGATTCTGCTGACCCGATGTTCTGCTGGCCACCTCTGATTAGAGGAAGTTAAACACTTGGGTACAATGAGCAAGTCAAGAGAAACATTCTTTCTTCTTGGGTAGTGTGGCAGAGAGGTAGTGATGCCTACAACCATTTTGCTTCCAGAAGAGAAGACAATATAGTTTAAGCTCTGAAGATTGATCAGACTGATAGCTGCCACTTGCTAGCCATGTGACTTTGGGCAAATTTCTTAATCTTTCTACACATTGCCGATCTGAACTATGATGATAATACCATGATAGTCAGGTTTCCTTTGGTGACCAGTAACAGGAAACTAACCCATACCTACTAGGAAAAAGGAGAGGGGGCACTTGTTAACTCAACTGACCAAATGAAGAGTAGTACAATAGGGCCTCAGCATAACTAGAAGCAGGAACAACACTAATGGCCTGCTTGTGTCACCTCTGCCCTTTTCTCTGGGTGTGGGGATATCTCCATTTTTGCTTCTCTCTGCATTTTAGCTTCACTTTCTTGGACTGGCTATTTCATGAATGGCTGAAACATGAAATGTGAATGGCTGACAGCTTCCAGGCTCATATTTCCGGTTTAGTTAGCAAGAGAGAGGAGACTTCTGTTTTGAATCCCAAATTAAAACCTTTTAAGAAGGGTTCTGATTGTCCCATCTTGGCTCAGGTGCCCACCTCTGGTGCCAGAGAAGGGCAGGATACGTAAGTTGGCAGCTTCCATTCAAACCACATGATCACAAAAATTAAATATTTAGCAGAAACAAATGGTGCTGTTCTGGATAGACAAACCCATAGATATTCTCTATAAATTGTATCTTGTAGGGTTGTTTTTGGAGGTGAGATGAGACAATATATGTAGTGAGCACCAAGTCCCAGAACTGGGCACAGTGTACAGCTAGAGGACACAGCCAAGGCCCTGCAAATTCTCTTTCGCTCTCTTCATCACATCTTCACCACCAGGGCTGCTGCTTACCTAGATAGTGCCTTTTTCTTACGCTCAGTAGAAAAAGGTGTCCCTCTCTGGGTGGATGCAGCCCAATGGGCACAGGTTTGACAAGCAGAAGTTACATCAGTTATTAAGAAAATGAATCCCTTCTTCCAAAGAACACAGCCTGTGAATCAGAGTCCTGGATTTGTGAGTGTCATGTGGGCTGGGCTTTTGCTTTCATCTTTGTACAGTTCACAGACTGCCCAGCCCAGGCAGAGGGGCCTCCTTTCTCCTTATTGTGGCTTTCAGAGGCTCATGGATTGGCTGCAGTGTAAGGTTACAGATTGAACGCAAGCCTATTCCCTATACCACTAAGTCCACCCTTGGCCCACCCCAGATGGCTCACCGTTTCCCCACAAATTGTCTGCTGTTCCTTCTTGCCCTGGTGCAGGACACTCCATATTTCTTGGGCATTCTAATTTCACTCCTATAAATCTTTTAAACCTCAGGTCAAAGACATCCTTTTGAAAATCACTCCTCAGCATGCCCAGAGCTAGATACCAAATCACCTCTGCTGCTCTTCTAGAAGCCTGTTCTTCCTCCTTCACCACAGCGCTGATCACATTATACAGTAATGATGTTTGCTCATCGGTTCCTTTCTGCCTCCCCCTCTAGTGACGTGGCTTTTCAGCTCTTTATCCCCTGCCCAGGAATAAAGCCTGGCATCTAGCTCTCAAGAAATGCTTGTTCAATGAAATACCCGATGAATCAATGAGGAGGAGGAAGTCGAGGAGAAGGCTGAGCAGATTTCACTGTTCTCAAACAGACCTGTGTGTGTTCCGACATTTGCAGTGATACAAATGGGGAAAAAAAGCCCTCAGAAGCCTCTGGGATCCCAGAAGCAAAGTTGTTTCCTGCCCCTCAAGACCCTGAAATTTGAGAACTGTTTTTACCACTTCAGACATTGTCTCTTTGCCCACAAGTTAGTGAGTTTCTATTTGAGGTTAGTTGGATCTTTCCAGTTAACCCATTCATGGACTGGGCCAAGGCATTCAGGACAAATGCCCCCTCCTCATCCCACATGCACACTGCTGGGATGGACCCCAAGCTCACAGTATTCCTGGCAGTCAGTTTTGACTTTTCTTTTCTTTAAAGATTTATTTATTTTTGCATACAAGAGCTGGGGTGCAGGCCAGAGGGACAGGGTGGTGACAGGATTCACCAGAGACAGAGTGGGGAGCAAAACAGGCGAATTGACTGAAATACACTTTTCTTCGGGCCAAAGGGATGAGATCACCATCAACAGTGACATCACCACTGCATGATGCATCCACTTGGAGTGCTCTGACATCTAGAGCTTCTCCTGGAGGATACAGCACCCTAGTTCCTGCCATTTCTCAGGGTTCTAGAGCTGATCCTTCAGCCCCCTGCGTCCCTAGTAAATGTTTGCCCCTCTGAGAAGCAACATAAAAACGGAGAGGCCAGAGTCCAGAATGGGGAAAACTTGGAGAAGCCTCCAGTCCTTAGATAGACCTCACCATCCCTCAAAAAGGCCTCCCCGGGTCTCCAACAGCTGCTTCTCCCTTGCTCCTAAAGCTATTACCAGGATCTCTCAGGATACACTCAGAAGGGCCCAAGAGTTCTCAAGGGTAAAACCTGCTCTTGCCCTTCAGATGAGCTCACATTTGTGGATGAGAAAGTGGAGGCTGAGAAAGGAGACCTGGCATGCTCAGAGTAACATTGCAGGGACCACACTCTCCTGAGGGAGTGCCCAGCAGCTCCTTACCTCTTCTGATAGACTCTCCTTGGAGAATACTAGTCCCAGCTAATGCTGCCTGAAAAGAAATGGTCCTGTAGACAAAGAAGGGACAAGCCCTCCTTGCTGTCCTCTTGAAGACTGGCCATAAAGCAAGATCTGACTTCAAGGTACTGCACTGCCTTCATTCAGTACACACACAGAGGCACTGCTTTTCTAGCATTGGGCAAAGCAAATACCCACACTCAGATACAGTGGGGAGGAGTCTGGTGAGTTGTGGCTCCACAAGGAATGTCCCCAAATCCTGGAAGTCTTCCTGGACAATGGAAATCAGATTTGGAGTTTGAGAGTTGAGGCCTGGGGAGATTGGCATGGGAACCTAACAGTGAGCATCTCCCAAAGCGCTTGAATGCTGGAATTAGCCAGAAGCCACTGAGATGAGCCCCACACCTCTCTAGGTCTCACTTTGCTTCCTTCTAACCTAAGGGGCACCTGAGGGACACGGTCCAGTTGACTATTGCTGCCTCTCAATACAGAATTTTCTAATCCTGCGAATGGATCAAAGGAAGCAGTTTATCTCCTGTCAGCTTTAGGTGTCAGCCTGGAGTACACCCCAAGTTTCTCCTCTCTCCCAGCGCTCACTGTTGGCCAGAGAAGGGAACCCGACAGATGGATGTTTCTAAGTTTTGCCCAGGCGGGGCAGGGGTTGTTGTCTCCATCACAGGCCAACTCTGGAGCAGAGCGTCTCTCTCCTCAGGCTCACACCCCAACACCACCTTCAAGGTGGCAACCGGGGGGGTCTCAGACAAGGTCGCCTCCAGGGGGAGCACAGGTGCATTTTCAGACTCCAGAGCCAGCAGGGTGTCCCTTTTCTGGCTGCTGGAGCGGTGCATCCGCGGTTCAAGATGTTGTAACTCCCTTAGTCACCAGATTCAAGCTCATGCTGTGATAAGGGGTGGCGGAGGATGGGGTGACCAGGCAACAAGCCAGGCGTCTCTTCTTTCCAGCTCCTGCGCCACCACCCCTCCCCCGTCACCCGCGTTTATTAAACATCTTTTTTAACCCTCTTGACCTTTTCCCCTCCGGATTTCTAGGTCCGCCGTGCGCGCAGAGACCGATAAGATGGCTCCTGCCCTCCGGGTGGAGTTCATATCTCCAAGTCTAGTTTCTAAGAGTATTGCGTCATCGTTGAAGTCGTTGTGGTTCCCCAGGCGGCCTCCACGTCTGCTCCCGGCTCGGGGCCTTGGACGCTTCTGGGCGCTGCGGGCACTTTCGCGAGGAGCCCTCGGCTCCGCCCGCGCGCCCCTGCCCGGCCCCTCCCCCGGCCTCACCTACCTGCCCCTCCCTCCCCCGCGGCTCCGCCTCGTCCTCGCCCCCTTCCCGCTGCCCAGGGGGGAGCCGCGCCGGGGCGAGCCGGCGGGGCCGCGCGGCGGGGCGGGCGGGGCGCGGGGCGCGGGCTCCTGCGCTCTGGGGAGGCGCTGGGCCCGCCTCCTCCTGGTCCCCGCCGGGCGGGGCCCCTCGGCCGGCGCGGGGCGGGGAGAGCCGGCTGGCCCCTCCCCTCCGCTGCCCTCCCCAAAGTTACCATCTCCCCCGGGGCCGGACAGTCTTATGATCCAGCGGATCCTCCTGGGGAGGCCGGGCCGGGGAGCGGGTGCGGGCGCCGAGCGGCGGGGGCAGCGGGTGGGCGCGCAGACCCGGGCCGGGCGGAGGTCCAGGCAGCCTCCGAGGCGGCGGCTGCGCCCCGGGCCCGCCGCCACCTCCCCTCGGGCGGGGGGCGCCGCTGCATGGGGCCGGGGGGGCGGCCCTGCTGCGCGGAGCGGCGGCGGCGGACCCCCCAGGCGGGCTGGGGCTGAGCCCGAGGCCGGGGCGGGGGCTCCGGGGGGACCATGCCCGGAGGCCGGCCGGCCGCAGCATGGCTCACGGGGCCGGCGCGCTGATGCTCAAGTGCGTGGTGGTCGGGGACGGGGCGGTGGGCAAGACGTGCCTGCTCATGAGCTATGCCAACGACGCCTTCCCGGAGGAGTACGTGCCCACCGTCTTCGACCACTACGCAGGTAAGCCCAGGAACTGCTGACTAAGGGGCTGCTCCTCGGGCTGGGAACTTTAGAGCAACTTTAGCGGAGCCCCCTGCTACCTCCCCAGAGCGCGCGCCGCACCCTCCCCCGCCGCGCCCTCTGCCAGGCTCCGGCCGCGCCCCGGGCTTCGCCGCGGTCTTTGCTTCTGCCCGCAAGTCCGACCCCCTCTTTGAACACCCCCGACTCCCGCCCTCGGTCCCGGCTCCCCGCGCTGCTCATACCCCTCGGCGCCCTGGGCCGACCTCCCTGACCTTTCCTAAAACGCCTCCCCGACTACCCCAAGCTATCCCCAAGGGTTAGCTTGGGGGTTTGGGGTTTGGGGGGGCGAACAAGTCTTGGCTGCGGGACTTGGGAGAAGGGAGTGGGCAGCTGGGGGGCCATGTCGTACCCTGGTTTCACGCCAATTTACGGTGAGCGGGACAGGAGAGAAAAGGGGTGACATCTCCCGAGGAGAGCCTGCTTGCCTCCAGCTGGGTTGGGAGAGGCTCTGGTGGGGAACGAAGTTGCCCCAGAACCCAGATAATTGTGAGCTTCTTTCCCCGCCCCCACTTCTATCCTTGCAGTCAGCGTCACCGTAGGGGGCAAGCAATACCTTCTGGGACTCTATGACACGGCCGGACAGGTGAGTGTCTTGGCCCCTGGCGGTCACCCCACTCCCTTTACCCAATTCAGAGTGGCCCTGGGGGGTCTTTGGAAACGGAGGTGTCTAGGAGGGAGGGGTGGCTGCATCGTCCTTATTTCACTTTTCAAGTCAGCGAATTAGGAAGCAATGACAAACCCAGACTAGCCCACCCATGTGGACCCCTGGGCTGGGAAAGTTTTTGCCTGTATGTGCCTTCTGTATGGTGCCTGGTGTGTGGGTCCCAACTCCTGTTGCAAAGTGGCTGCGGCCAATCCCGAAGCGCCCTTATTTTTAGTCTCGATGATCAGGGCTCCCCCTTACAGCCTCAGTCTGGGCCCTCATTGGTGAGTGGTCTGCCTGCCGAGGAGCCTGATTGGTAGGAAATGGCATCATCTAATCTGATGGGAAGGCATTTGGTCCTGGTTATGTTTATTACTACATCATGGCACTTTGGGACTCCAGTCCTCCCTGAAAACGTAATTTGTGGTGTTACCAGAGGACCACAGGGAAAAAAGAGAAGAAACAACACCATGCAGCCACTCCCTGGAGCAGGGAGGAGGAGAAAGGGTTAGGAGTTCAGAGTTGAATCTTAGAGGAAGAGCTGTTTGTTTTTTTTCTTTTTCCTTAGGAAGACAGGTGACTTTGTCTGGGTTTTCTTCGGGAAAGGTTATTGTGCAAAGAAGAAAAGGCAGACTCTTCCAGGCATTGTTTGCAAATTAGAGTTGACTCCTAAAGAATTAAGGTCTCTTCTCTGTCTCTGTCCCAGCTCCACCCCTTCCCAGACTCACTTTTGCTGGGGCTGATGATTGTATGGGATGAAGTTTTGCAGAATCCACCCCTGTGATTAGACCTGAAGACATCAGCAGAAGTTTCCACATGTCATGCAGAGTTGAGTCCTTGAGGACATGTGAGCCACCGAGGGGCTTAGATAGTATCTTGGGGGAATGTCCAGTAGTAGTTTCCTCATCTGTAAAATGGGTTTGTAAAAAATCAGCCCACCCCCTGTGCATGTATTATATGCCAGATATTTAATATGGCACACACTGGATGCTTTATAAAGGGGAACTGTTCTTTGTAGCTCATCTAGATTTGAATTTCAGAATTGTGGTACCAGGTTAGATCCTAAATAATGTTGGGGGGGGGGTTGTGCCTTGATATTGCCTCTGGTTGCTAAGCTAAGTTAGAGGTGCCTCTGAGGAGCCATGCTGTTGATAATGCCAGGTGCCTGTGGCGCCCCCTTTCACCAAACTTACTCCGTCAGTACAATCAGTTCTTCTCTTACTCTTGCCAGCACCCCTTTTGGTTATCAGGCACGTAGTTATTACCTTTATCAGAATAATATCAGTTATTATCTTTATGCAGAGAGCAAGAGACAGCACTAAGTCAAGTAAGGCTAACCTGTATGCAGTACAACTTGATGAACTATAGAGGGAGAGCTTTTTTTTTTTTCCTCTAGGAAGGTCAGGTGACTTTTGTCTGGATTTGCTTTGGGAGAGATTACTGAACAAGTCAGGATTTGGGTTGAAAGTAGAGGGTTTTAAAAAATTGTGCATAATTTTAACTTATCTCGCTATAGCCTTTCCCTTTCTCACCAAGACCATTTTTGACCACGAGCTCTCTTCCACAGAATACATATATGTAAGAGCTGTTCTGTGCACATAGAAATGCAGCTAATAAATATTTCATGAGTCCCTTCCACATGTCAGGCATGGGGCAGCCACCTGCAATTTTTTTCCCATTTACTTTTCAAAATACACCTGTGAGAGAGATGAGATCCGTCTCTGCAGATGAGGAAAAAGGGACTCAGAAAAGCTATGTTGCTTGCCTGAAGTCTCATAGCTACTAAGGACTATTGCTGGGAGCAGGACAGGGTCTGGTCTGCTCCACTTTGAGCTGTGCTATACCCAGAAGCCATGGGAACTGCTGATATGGCACTGGGTTGATCAGTTTGCTTGTGTGTCTGTGGGCATGGTACCTGGAATCTTCACAGCCTTTCATAAGTGGGGTTGTATGCATTACTCAAGAGCAGATCCAAAGGGTCATCCCAGGTTGGGGTCACACATAATACCAGAGCTTCCTGTGCGTCATCATGATTTCTCTTTGCAGTGGAGATTGTAAGATATACACCAAGTAGGACCAAACGATTTAACAAATTCAAATATTATTATTTTCTTATCCAGTGGTGGGATAGCTACTCTGTTGGCCAATATGTGTATTAAGCCCCCTTCTTTTGCCCCCTCCCCCAGTGTTTCTTCCAGTTCTAATACTTTTGTTTTGAATCAAACTTGGTGACATTTCATCTTTAGCACTTAAGGATTTGTAGCAACATAATCATCAATGAGATTAAATGACAATGCCCATTGTGAACTGAACACTGCCGAGTACCTGGGGAATACAGACTGGGCCTCTACCATGGCTCATGGCCACATAGGTAGAAGTGTCCCTGTCACATGCCTGTTTGTATGCATTATGTGGGAGATTCCTGTGTTATACTTGGTCATTAAGACTCTATACTGGGCCTCCCTGGTGGCACAGCGGGGCGAGCACAGCGCTGTGAAGCTCTCCATAGCCTCAGCAGTGCCGGTTCATTTCCCGGCCGGCCAGGGATAAACCCACTTGGCAAGACAGACTTCTCCTGTCTCACCCGCTGCTCCCCTCAGCAGTGCTTTCCTCAGTCCACCTGTTCTGCTCCTCGCTCTGTCTCTGGTGAATTCTCTCACCCTCCGGCGCCACTGGCCTGTACCCCAGTCCTTGTATAAATAAATCTTAAAAAAAAAAAAAAAGACTCTATACCTCCATGAATGGTTATCAGATTAATCCAGTAATAATAATGATAAGTAAAGCCTGAATATGCATATAGAGAGAATTTTTAAGCCTGATGGGCAGCAGAGGAAAGCCCGCAGGCTTTGGAAGCAAACAGACTTGACTTCAGATCTCTGCCTTGCTGTGATTCTACTAGTCTGTGATCTAGTAAAAATGGGTAATTAGAATGTATACTTCAGTGTGGTAGGCTGGTTAAAATTGTATGTCCTGGCAGCTGACACTGTTCTTTGGTTGTAGATAATAGTCTAGGTATTAGGAGAAACTGTTGTGTTCTACTGTGGTCACTTTAGTTGGGGGTGGGGGTGGGGTTGCAAATGGCAGAGGGCAGTGTATTATGCCTGTGGTTGACAGAAACTTCACGCGGATACCAGATGCTAGAAATTTTTCAGCAGAGGTCCAGAGCCAGCTTTGCACTTTATAATCCTGATGCTCTACGTCTGGACCCGTGGACATGTGGAGTGCTCTCTGCTACTTCCCTTCTTTCTGCAGAGCCTGCATCCCCAGTTATAGAAGAGAAACACTTACAAAAATTAAAAGTTCAGTGTAGAATTTGAGAAACAAGTATAGGTTTCAGTTATTCTACTTTCAGAAAGGTAAGGTGGGATGAGCAGGAAGCTCACGTAACTAGAAAGTAATTGCTTTTTCTCCAAATGCTCCCTCCTGCATATGGGCACCACTGTATTTGAATAACAGCCTGCCTCTCTCTCTCTCTCTCTCTCTCTCTCTCTCTCTCTCTGTGTGTGTGTGTGTGTGTATGTATTTAAAGCTGCAGCAACATTCACCCAATTTACATATTAGGGAACGCTGGGAACTCACGGCATGTTTCCAGTAGTAGGGACCTTTTACTTCCAGAGCAGGCTGCATTCCCCTTGACCTCTGCTGCTATTGACTGAGAGAGAGAATATGAACATGAGTGCTGCGCAATGCCCATATCCCTCTGCCTGAGCACAAACCTAAAAGTCCTATATACACTCACTAGCCTTATTGCCCAAGGGAAACCCTCTCTTTTGGCCAAGCCCCTGGGTGGTCCAGGAACAGCCCTGACAATTTTAACTGCCAAGCATTTTGGAGTGGAAGTTGAGGGCAGAGCCTTTCTCCTCGCTGGGGCCTGAGGTGGGTCTGGTTTCCGGCCTGTCCCTCTATGGAACTTCTCTTTTCTTGCCAGGCCCGGCTTTCAGGACTTCAGCACAGGCTCTGCTGTAGCCCCACTGTCTACTCTGGGAGGGACAGAGGGGTGAGATTTTTCCCTCCTGCCTCTGCACTGTTTGGCGCCCAGGGGAAGTGGGAAGAGCTCTGGCTCTCTGTGCAGACAAGCCAGTAGGGAACAGCCTGGCAAGCTGCTCTCAGCTGCAGGCTCCAGGCTGATCTCTTAATCCTTGGCAGGAAGGCCGAACTTGATACCCCGAAGAGGGAAGGACTGATGCCCAGTTTTTCCCAAGGCCTGGAATACTGGCACTCAGGAAGCTGTGGGTTGGGGGTGAGTTTGGGTTCCCTAGAGTTCCAGATTTACCCATTTTCCCAGTGTATGGAAGGCTGCATGTATGCTTTGGGGCACGTTTTTACTGTGTGTTAACTTAAACGCACACAAGTTCAAGGACGTGTATACCAGGGCTATAAATATCCTTAACACAGGTGTCTCCTGGGGTGGCTTTTTCAGTGACAAGTGAAGTCTGTTTCTCACTTGACATGGCTCAGCAGCTGTGGCTGTCCTGCAAGCCCACTGGGGGCCCAGGCAGCACTTTCCCTCCAGAAGGGAATCTCCAAAGTGGCAGCTTTGGAAGCTCCTCTTCTGCCTTTCATGAGGCAGCACCCCAGAGACTGGTCTAATGAGAAAGGGGAACAGGAAGGGCAGGGTATTCCCCTCATTGAACAATTCCCATCTTCAGGCAGGTCTCCTCCAAGGTAGCTACAAGATAGACTTTTCCCAGGGAATTGAAAGTGAGTGCACCTGTGGAAATCTGATGGCAATGTGACTGGGAAAAGAGGTTTTCCTTACTTTGGAGGGGGCCTGCAGGGAAGTACCAGTGGGATTTAGGAACTTCCCAACATCACCCAGGCTCTAAGTCCCCAATGCCCTTAGGGGCTCAGGGAACAGTGTTTGGGAACAGTGTTTCTTCAATGTTCAGGGTTCCCTCTAGACATCAGCTGCAACAGGTGAGATGCTGGCACTGAGCATC